TTCTTGGCCTCGGATCCCCAATCACTGGCCAGCATCGTGTGAACGTGCGTGGCTTGATTGGGCTGCGCGACGTCGCCTTGCCCCATCGAGGACTCGCCTTTGTGTGCGACGGGTTTTGCTGCTGCGTGCCATGCATCGGGCTCTCTGCTTGGACAGATGCGACAGTTGACGTCTTCGCTCGGAGGTATTCTGGGGACACTCGGTGCTTCTTCTCTGTGACGTCGGCATGAACACCGTGACTTGTGGGGATGGGCTGCGCAGCTGTCACAGGTCAAGTCATGAGATCGCAACGAGTGTGGAGCTATCGTGAGTTATCGCTAGCACATCGTTGGCTCAAATCACTGGTGTATCGTTTGGCTGCCGTTCCGTCCGCAAATATGACAGCGTAACGTGGAGATGGGATGCGTTTTTTTCGCACGGCCGAGCATCGGAGAGAAGACTGATCAATTCCCAACTTCGACATCGTTTATCGTGGACGTGCCTGTGTCATCGCTCGAAAGATTCGTCATGCATCGTGACCATCGTTGGATTTTCTAGCCATCGAATTGGAGAAACTGCGCCGACACCCCCTCTTCTGCGCTTACAGCATCGAACGTCGTGAATAAACTACCCCGGATGCACATGCCGGTAGGCCAATAAAGTAATTTTTGTTGACGTCGCTGGGCTTCAAGCTTCGAGCTAAGGTTAGGACAACGGGCGTGGGCTTATCACCTGCAAGTGTAGTTCGCAGATTGCGCTAGGTGAGCACACATGGCTGCATGTGGGGGACCTATCAGGCTACTGTACCATCTCGACCTTGCTCATCGGGCGATTTCCAAGCCACCCGTTCGCTCCAGAGTTCAATCCGGATACCAGCCTCGCACCTGTTGATATCACGTACCCCCAAATTAGGTATGGTCAACGCTGATAAGGGAAATTTGACAGTCCGACCATTAACCTCAATAGCCGCCATGCACAAGAGTGGAGCCCAAACCGAACTTCATGCTACAGGTTATCAGACGGGTATTTAGGGGTAGACCATACTTTGGTTTTCAGATATTGATAAGACTGTGTTGCTTCTTATCAGGGGTATGGTAGGTGTGAAAGGGGGAGATGGATAGTACTTGAATGCTTGAAGGATTGATTTCTCTGCTACTCTATCCCCAACTCTCCTAGTCACCATCCATTGACTATCTGCCCCACGCCGGCAGCGCATGCGATGATGCGAACAGAAACGCTGAAGGGAATTGGTAAATGTTCTCCCGATGCGCCCACGATTTAACAAAGGAGAAAAAGAGACCCAGACATAAGGAGAAAGGAGAAGCCGATGATATGCCAGACGGAGAAAGACTACATATATACGAGATGGATATATAGGTAACGTCGCCCCTCTATCAGTCAACGGAAACCCCAAAGATACAATTCTCTGCCCAACCGGATGCAGAGAGGTCGAAGTAAAACGCCGACTTCATGATGGGTAATCGTGTGATCGCGCCATTTGCACTGATGCCATGTGAACCCATTTCGATTGATGATTACAGTATATTGGTATGGATGCCCAAAATATGCACAAAACGCATAGATAGCTCAGAATCTGTTTTGTTGATTTTGTTGTTGCTGTTGCTGAGCGACCGAGGAGCGTTTGTACGAATCGATAATTTGGCCCACCTGCTCCTCGTGCTCGCTCTGGCGTCAGTGTTCATATCCTGCGCCTCGCTGCCAAGGGCTTGGGCTGTTGTTCTGGCGGTACTGCTGCGGTTGGCCTTGACCGTTACTGCCGGGGCGGTATGACGGTGCTGGGCTTCGGCGCTCGTAGAAGGATGGGGGTGACGGTGAGACAGTTCCATCATTGCCTTGGCTTCGTGGTGGTACGGCCGCATAGTGCTCGTTGAAACCACCCTCCTTGGCAGCCATCTGTCGCTGCTCTTCGGAGGAGTAATCATCCTCGTCGTCAATACGGCTCCTTGATCCAGTGTAAGGGTGAGTACCCTTGCCCTCACCACGGGCAGTCGCGCCGAGTGCGTCGAGCTCAGTGGTTAGCTGAGTTTGCGACTTGATGAAGGAGCCACGGTCGTCGCGCATGGGCTGGTAGCGGGTATCGGGGTTCTTGGTGAACAAGGCGAATCCGGAAGAGACGAGAAGCATGAGAAGGAGAATCAGAGCAAAGGCGGCGTTGATGATGAAGAAGATGACACCCATGACACCAGTGACGATGGCCTGTGGAGGTTAGCTTGAGCACAGTCACAAGAGTCTGCCTTACTTACCGGCTGGTTGAAGATCTCAGTGAACATCAACAAGAAGAAAGCGCTGAGGAAGTTGACAGCAGCAATGGCAATGTTGAAACCGTTGGTCTTCTTGTCCATCCATGGGCGAAGCACTGATACGCCAACAAGCAGAACAGCCTCGATGAGGACAAGTGCGATAGCCTGGGTCTTGAAGCTGCCTTGGGAGAGACCGACGAACATGGCCTTGATGAGGAGGTATCCGAGCCATGGGATGATGAACCAATAGGCGGCAGCCTTGAATTGGACATAGAGGAAACCCCACTTGTTGAGCGCGACAGGGTCTGAGTAGAGAATGTATGCAGGGTTCTTGTGCATAGCAATGGAGCGTTGCGCGATTCGAACAACCTTTGAAGAAGCCCAGGCGAGGATGCCAATCATGGTGAGCATGGACAGAATAGCCAGAACGACCAGACCAGCGGAATCACGCTTGGTCAATTCCCAGAAGCTCAAGACCATCATCTGTGGGAAGCCAATGAGGACAACACGGAAGAGGATACCCTTGAGTACAGTCTGCCAGCCATTGCGGAAGTCAACGAACTTGTCGTTCTTCATCCTGCCAGCCTTGACAAGACCTTCGCAGATGTACTTGAAGGCGACTACGCCAATGACTGTGAAGAGGACGAAGATGACGAAGAAGGTGTATCCGGTAAAGAAGATGTTGGTGGTTTCAATCTTGGCCTTGAAACCGACACGCTCGATGCCATGGAGAACCAAACGGTCTCCACCAGCCTGTGCCTCGGTGGCGGCAGCGTTACTACGGGCCATGAGGCGTCCGACAGCGCCGGTGGTGAAGTCGAGAGCACGCCTCATCTTCCTCTTCTTTTGTACTTCGACTGAGATGTACGACAACTGCGAGAGGTAGGTGGTTGGGCTTCCGCCGGTAGCACGCTGGTACCATGTTGCCATGTCCTGGAGAAACTGGACGCGGATAATACCCATGGTCCATTGGAAGTTCTGGGTCCAGGCGGAGACGATGGGGGGAAGAGGAACAGCGCAGAGACCGATGAAGGCCTGTGCCTGGAAGTAACCGAACAGTGACATTGCGTTGGCTGCGACGTGCGCGGCGGTGTTGGAGTGACCCAGTCCAGAGGTGATAGCAGATGCCATGAGACCCAGACCTGCGATGACAGCCGTCACCCATGCCACAGCCTTTTGGTCGACTGAATGCCCGTTTGACAGTTCTGCCTCAACGCATGCCAGTTGAACATGCGACTCCGCATCCCTAATCTTTACTCGTACAACAGCGTCGAGATCTGGAATTGTGTATGCGATGCCTATATCATGTCAGAAGTGTGCAACCACGACGTTGAAGGCGTGCCTTACCTGGAATTACACTCATAACGTCCTGGCTGATGTCGATGTTGGATTTGATGGTCAGCGGGCCGGCGTTCATGGGGCACATGCCCTCGAGCTCCTTCTGGCTGCAGGGGTCGAGCTTCTGGTTCATAGCAGAGTATCCATATACGAGCAGCTCAATGTCGGCCTCGATCTTGCCGGCGATGTTTGAGATTCCCTCGATGTTGAAGCCCAGACTGCGATTGCTGGGGGTGAATGCGACATTGAAGAGGGTGGCGGAGAAGCTGGAGTTGGACATGCACGGGTTGAGCGACTTGGATTCGATGACACGCTCAGCGGAGACGAGCGGCGCGGCGACGGCAGCGAGCCATAACAGCGACTTGGATAGGGAGAATTTCATGGTGGGCGGAGTTGTTGGGGTGGAGGTGGTGGTGTATTAGGTGCGCGAAATCGAGTTGCCTCAGGCGCGGGCGTACTCCTTACGAGTACCGGGGAGGAAGGTCGGCCAAACCAGCGGCGCGAGGTTGTGGTTGGGGAGAGGGTCCGTTTGCGGTTCCTGGGTGTGAAGAAGAGCAGGCGGAGAGCGGGTGAATGTGAGTGTGGGGTGAGCGAGTGGCAGTCGAGAGCGACTAAAGCGGTGGTGATGTCGAAAGGGGTGGTTGCGCAGGACAACTGGGAAGGAAACCGGGAATCAGCGCGAGGCGAAGAGGCGGCTGGGCGACGCTAGTCCAAGGGGATATGTAAACGACCGGACGGGAGCGATCAGCACTTGCACGCAACCCAATAAAAACGAATCAGCTGGCTATTGTCGTCACCGAACTCAACGTTGGTGTTTTGGAGTTGCCTGAGGAGTGCGAGAAATGGGGCAGACGGTGAGAGGAGGTCAGCTTGAAGGAGCAGAGGTCTATGCACCGCGTGCCGGCTTCAGGGGAGCGAGACGATGTTGGTCGCGGCGAGTGGGCCAGATGAATACGCGCGGCACCTGCTCAGCGCCCAGCCTCAGTCAGACAAGTCGTCCAACGGCTGTCAAGTTTGCGATTGAGGTGCCATGGAGAGAGGCAGGGAAAGGCTGCTGTCAGTCTATGCCCGTCTGCTTCTCTCAAACTTTCTCCAGCACCACGTTTGCCTTCGCAGCCCTCAATCCGGCCGTCTTCTGCCCTCGCCAGGCTGGAACAGGCGGATGAGGCAGGGGCGAGGGGACAGGGGGCAAAGCTGCTTCGCCACACTCCTACGCAGGAACAATCTCGCCTGGCCAATCAACACGGCGCTCTAGGCCCATTCTCGCGCTGACTGAGAGTTTGCGAGCCAGGTCCGCCCAGCGCTTCGTATTTTCTCTGATTTGAGCGCCCTATACGAACAAGACGCTCAACGCGCTCGTCCACCTCATCCCGGCCAGCTACACAGTGGTGCAACCTGAAAGGACGTTAATATTATGCCATTATGCCATCCGGCATCCTGCGGCACACCAAGTCTGGCCACGACCCCATCCGTGCTTTCGGCACCAACGGATGGCTGCACGCATGCACGCAAATAGAGACGACCCAGCCCCCTCAGCCAATCATGGCGGACCAGAGTGTGGCGCCCTTGGCCAGCGAGGTCAATGAGCCGTAGATTCAATACATCGAGATGGACAAGACTACACGCCCGCATGCGCCTACTGCTGTTTCTGGGCGTTGTACACTACGGCTTCTCTTTCCGTGGCTTGCGTAATGCTCGCACGTGTCGTCAGTCTACACATCATTGTTTCCTCACATCGGACCTCGATTGACTGAACATGTCTAGCCCAGCCACCAACACCATTGTACCACCGAAGGATCATCATTCAGGTGGTGCGCCAGACGTCATTCAACCACATTGCGCAACGCGTGTCTGCGAACTATCAACAAACGTCTCGCCCACATCTGAAACACGGGATCTGCTCGTCTAGAAAATCTTCAAGGTGCTCGGCCCGCTCACATCTATCGATATCGTTCGCGCAGCCTCAACTTCTAACCTCCAGCACTGGATTGACCCTGAAGATCGTCATCTTTTCCATGCGCGCTTGTGGGTGGAGCTGCCCCACCAGCCTTGGAACAAGTGGGCGCGAACGCGTAACCGCACGTTTGGCCAACATCAACAAACTGACCCTTCATCTACCTTGCAACATTTACCGTCAGCTTACCCTGAGTAAACATTCATAGACACGGCGCATTCTTGTACAATACTTCCAGATCGAAGCTTCGCGAAACGACTAAACGTGCCTCACAATAGGCTGTATGCAATCTCGTCAATTTGTTCCATCATCTTCATTCTTTATCTCTTCCAAAACCAATCGCAAATATATTCTATTTCTGGTCTCTGTTGTTCACTTTCTCGGTCCGTGGCTTGTGAAGATACATCGTTGCATGCAATCTTACGATTCCTTTCCAGGTCAGGATGTGGATGGTAAAAGGCTTTCCTAAACGTGTTCAATCTTGGATAGGGTTCAACATATTCAACTTGAACGATAACCATCTCGTAGGTTTCTATCACACCCTGCATGTTACACAGCTGTTGTAAATCTGATACCTGGCACAGCCGCCTTCCTTCCCTTACATCTCTTTGTTGTATTATCGCGGGTAATGCTATGTACTACACGTCGTATACAGGCGCCACAGCTACCGTGTCTACGCAGCCTTCATTTCCATCTTCTAACTGAACGCTCACATAGATCGGTTGACGTTGCACATATTGTCACGAGTTTCAAAGAACTCCGGCTGTTAATATGGCCGGACGCTAGACACAAGTACAGACTTTGGTTGTCTCTACTAAAGATATTCAAAGTTGTACAGAAAAGCCTAATAGCGCATGAACTCATATGGTTCAAGCGTATGGGTTCAGGACGCCCCGTCGGCACACTACCCAATTCTCAAGGCCATTCTGGTTACTTGTACTTGGTTGTTGTGTACCACGTTGTTGCAAGCGGAGAAAGTGAAGAACACACATAGATTGAAGGGCAGAACACGATCAATACGTTGTGTTATTTCTTCCACTCATGATGCGGGAGGTGGGCATCATTTGTTTGTTCCTCAATGTGCAGCGGTGTGCAGGCGCTCGAGAGTATGCATGCTCCCGCCCTTCACCTACCAATTTCCCCACTCAACAAACGAACGGATTTGCGCCATGGCAGCCTGAACGCCGCTCAAGATGGACAGTCACATTTCCATCAGTCATAATGGTAATATACTCACCCCCGCTGCTGATTTTATCGAACACACAAGTCCATGATGCCAACCACCACCGTCGTCCTGGCGCGAAACACACATGGCTTTGACTTTGATGACTCCAAGAAAGCTGAGTTGGAACTACTACTCAAGACAAAACTTCAGGGCGTACCAAATCACCATCTCCCTAGCCTCATCCTCAGCGACATACTTGATCAAACGCCACGAGCGTTAAACATTGCAAATATACCTTCAGACATCCAGCTCCAATTCTTCCTACAGGACCGCGCCGCGATCGATAACTACGCCGGAAAGGCGATCAAAGACGATGACAAACAGAGTTTTGATATAACACGGGCGATCTGGTTCTATAGACTCGACGAAGCACATCAATTCCAACGCTTTCACGACATTGTGCGATGGAACACCGCGATTTACGTCGCGCTGTTAGCTCAACATTCGAAAGTAAGCAGCAAAAAATACGCTTCTCACAGTGAAGTACGAGTGGTCCATCATGGGCACAGCAGCAAGGACTCTCACAACCCGCGCAACACCAAAGACACATACAAACCCCTTCCTTCCGCAGCCATTCGTTTTATAACTCAATATCTCACCGCCATTATCGAGCACCACAACACCCCTACCTCCAGCTTTGCCGCTCGCGAATCTTTTCTTCGAGCGTGGAAATCGGGCCCTTGGGATTTGTTCACAGTTTTTGGCGGTGCGCAGAAGAAGTTGATGAAGAATACTATGAAGGTTTTGAGTAAGGATTGGGAGGCTGAATTGGCTATTGCAAAGAAACAGATGGGCAAGGAGCGATATGAGTGGGAGGTAGGAAAGTTTGTTGGGGGGTTGATACCTGGAAGAAAAGATCAAGGTGTGGGTGCGTGGGAGAGGAGGGGTGAGGAGAAGGCCAGGGACGGAGACATCGATATGGAAAATGCAGCGCCCAAAGATCAGGGCGAAGGCAAAGAGTCGGATGGAAACGGGCTACTAGAGGCACTTCTCTCTCCGTATGTTTCACATACCAAGCATACCGAGAAACAAGCCGAAGCGGAAACTAGAGGTGGCATGACTGCGGTTCAAGGTACGCCGGTCATTGATATGAGGTATGCGATCACGATGGTGCAGAGGATGAAGCCTGAAGACATATTGCCTGTTCTTATCCGTTTATTTCCTGAGTAGCTGCATGTGGTGGAATGAGCCGTGAATGACAGAACTTGTTACCTGAGGCTGCATGGCTCCAAAGAGAAACCGCGAGAATTCTCACGCGTCCTGGAAGCAATTTGGTTCATAATCACTCAATAAAACATGAAGAAGTCGATACTTTCGAAAGATGCTACTGATGAGCAAATGTCACGACTCAGTCATCACAAGATAAGGGACAATAACTGTACGTTCAAACATATGAGATTCGTAAAATCTATCATCGGTATCTTCTAGTCATACTCCGTTCATTAATCTTCCATTATCCCATCACGAGTGCAAAGCCATCCATCTACTGGGGCTTAAGAACACCACGGTACCTCATCTTTCCATCCCTCAGCGTAGTCATAGCCTCCTCGATACCGCTCTCGGTCAACGGGAACTCCATGGTGATGGGCTTGATGCCGTGTAGCGCGGAGAAAGCCAACATGTTGCGGTGTACAGCCCTGGCGGCGACAACGGAACCCTGGACGGTGATACCCTTGGAGATGAGGCCCATGTGGGGGATAGCGAAGTCATCGAAGGAGACGGTCATGGGGAAGATGATGGCGTTAGAGTTGAGGACGGGAAGCATCATCTTCCAGTCCGGCATGACCGAGGTGGTGACAAGGAGAGCGTCAACGGGGCGGCTGACGCTAATCTCAGTCTTTCCCTTCATGGCGATGAACTCCTTTGCGCCGAGCTTCATGGCCTCGTCCTTCTTGTTGTCTGAACCGGAGAAGACGACGACGTCGCAGCCCATCTTGGCGGCGTATTGGATGGCCAAGTGACCAAGACCACCGACACCCATGACACCAACACGGTCGGTAGGCTTGACGTTGTAGGTGTGGAGAGCGTTGAATACGGTAGCACCACCGCACATCAGAGGTGCGGCATCAGCGTCGCTCAACTCATCGGGAACCTTGAAGACGAAAGACTCGCGCCAGACGGCGTGGGAAGCAAAGCTACCCTGGTCGAGGTTGTGTGAGCCGTACATCTCGCGCTGGTTGCAGTAGGTCTCACGGCCTGTAAGACATTGGTCGCAGCGGCCGCAGGAGTTGTGCTCGTATCCCCATCCGACACGGTCACCCTTCTTCAGTTCCTTGACGTTGGGACCAAGCTCTTCAACGATACCGACACCCTCGTGGCCGAGAGCCATGTCGGCCTCCTTGTAGTGCTCATCAGTTCCGCAAAGACCGGAGGCGGTTACTTTGATGAGGACCTGGTCATCCTGAAGATCAGGCTTGGTAGTTTGACCCTTGACAATCTTGCTGTCCTTGGAGCCCTTGTAGACGGTGAAGGAAGGCATCTTGGTGGTGTTGAAATGTAATGTAATATACTTTAAGAGGTGATGTAATAAGAAAACTTTGGGGTATCTTGTTGCAAAAGGGATGAAAAGTTGATGTTGAGTGGTTTGATGGACTCTCAACAGCAGCTGCGACCTACTGTTATATACTTAGTTATGAACACAATGAACCTGGAGCTCATTCTTACATCTGCCATGCATCTCAAGCTACGTTCGAAAAGATTCTCTTGCATGACGTCGCCTATTGATAATACATAGGGTTTTCCGGGTTCAGGGTCTGGATATCGCCGTTGCCCACACATTTGGTGCATCGGCCGCCGCTAAAAAACGTGGTTTTGTGGGTCGCATCTCCAACATGACAGTTTCTGGATCTACCAATTCTGGTATAGTCACAGACTCATATAGTATCGCCTTGACGCAGTCAGCTGTTTATTAAGCAGAAGACCTTGCTCTTGCGACTGCACATTGTTTAGTATAGCATGCAGGCGGACACTGATGCAACTTGTTGAGCGCGTCGGATCCGGAGTTCGACAGACATCTCGGGGAGATTCGGCCTATCTATCAGATTTGCGTTGGAAAGCCGATACGCCCGCAATAGTGCGACGTGTCTGGACCGCCTCCGACTGATAGGGCTGTCTATGTGCCGATTGTGTGGAGCGATAGACGTGGTTCCTGGTCAGAACGTGGATCCGGCTCTGGGTGAAGGGTCAATGACGTAGGCGGTGCCGGGGTGCCCGTCCGATGGTTGCGCTACATCACCGAAACTGTTCGGCCCTTTAGCTTCATCACCCTGATTTTGGAAGACTACACTACAGATATTTCATCTGACGGCTACCTGTTCCGAGTACATGCATGTGTAGTGCCAATTGATGTGCAGGTCAAGCGGATGCTATGCAGCAGTCTGGAATACCTGACGATTATTGGCAAATGGGAGAGCATATGTCAGCTGCCAAGGCATGGCGGCAGAATCCTCGAAGCTTCGCATCTTAAATCCGAACTGGTAATAAACAAAAAGATGCGATAGGATTCCTACAAATACACAAGATGGATGTCTACGCAATCTGGGTGTAGGTGCTTCGTAATCTCACAACCCCAGACTCCACAAGATGAACAAGGGCATGATGCAACAGTCTTCACAACTGTAGCTCGAGCCTCAAATCTTGTACATCTATCACGATAAGAGCTTCACCAACAGTATTGAGTAATCTATGGCTGACGCGAGCGCTGTTTGTGCTGAGAACATTACCACGTGAGAAGGCGTGATTTTACAAAGTGTTGTAAGGAACGATCGAATAGTGCTAGGTCTTGACCCATGCACTTTGTCACAAATCTCAAACGCTTCAGGGCGCCAGAAAGGTGCAAGCAACTTATGAGATAATGCCTAATTGTCTGAGCAAGTGCAGTGTGCGAAGGAAGGCGGGAGATGACAGACTCAAGCGGAAAGTCGGCGACAGTGTGAGGCATTGAAAGAGAATAGATACTGCCTTAATAGCAAGATTATACCAGCGCACCGTTACACATATTATTCTCAAATATCGATAAAAGATAGACGGTAACATTGTAAGGTTGTTTGTGAAGTTCGTGGACGCAACGTGCAAGACAGGAGACGCTATTTTCAAAGCGGTATGGTGCGCGAAGTTTGACACGACTCTTCACAACATCATAGCTTCAATTCTCACCACATCTCATATTGCACACTATCCCACACCAAGCGTTCTCTGATCCACCCCATAACTCTGTGCTTACGCTTCGTGTTTACACACTGCTATTTGTTTTCTTGAGTCTTCTCACGACGATGTGTGTCCCTTCTCTCTACAGCCTATGCGCAGCGTAGACGCTATTGTAGGTTCTATTGCCACCCAACGTAAGTCTCGAGGCACTTTGTAGCCGGGTGTTTTCATTCATCCGTCTTTCTCCTGTTATCATTGTTCTTACTCGCTACGGTCGTTGGCTTCTTACCTCGCAATGTTGACGGATCGATTCTCTCAATTCTTCTTTGAGGCTCAGAGCTTGAGGTATACCATTCTCCTGGTCTCCTGGTCTTGTGTTTTTGTCTTCTGCTTCCCATGACATGGGGGTTTTCCTTCACGATCTTTCAATCTCGTCCTGACTGAAGTTGAAACGATGCTCTCTCACTGGACGACTTCTGGTTCGAGCTCCCCCATCAGATGCTTGGGAGGCTTGATCCTCTCGCTTAGTTTGCGCTTTACGCACTCACTCAGGTGTCGCTCACTCACCTGACCTGCAACCGCGCAGCGACCGCCTTCAGACGCCCTATCCACGCCTGTCACTTCTATGAATATTGTGATCTAGCTTTGGGGTGGGTATTCAAAGGTGATATTCCAGGATCACAATCACCAACTAACACAGCAGCTATAGTCTAAGTACCCCATCCATCGATAGCAGCTTTACTCAATTAAACAGATAGGGGGTTTGAACTTGGTCGCTAGTTCGAGCCCCCGCCCCGTCAGGGTCTGTCATCTCTTTCGAGGCGCTACCTAGGTACTCAAGAGATGGCAGAAGCCGCTTCAAATATCAAATACCATTTTTTGCTTTTATGTTTGGAGCTAACTGGGCAAGAGACATTCCTGTTTTTTTGTTCTCCTCGTTGTCAATAGCGATTCTACTGTGATACGGATCTTGCCTTTATCCGTATTGTGAAATCTCGTTTTACTGCTGTTCTCTTTAACATATCGTTTACTTTCACTTCGTCTACCCCACCTGCAACAGGTGACAGAGCCATGGCTTATGTCGCGATCATATGGTCTTGTAGCCACTAGCTAGTATATAGCCTGCGTTTCGCCCTCTCTGTGTCCTTGATCATCTTCTCTCGCGATCCGATTATATTGACCACCACTGCCTCTACTACGAGTCTTCACGCATACATGAGCACTGTAGAGGCAAAGCTCTACTACAAGGTCTCGTGGCTGCTATGCCTGGTGTCCGCGACATCGGTTCGCATGTGGAAGTATTCGACATTGGCGATTTGAGTGACTTCAAAGTCATGAATTTAGAGGAGGCGGATCAATCATACGAGGACGAGGTTGACGAGATGACGGCCAGGGATGATGATGCCATGGAGGTTGACGATGATCTTTGTATCATTGATGGCGCTGATCTGAACCTGTGGATCAGCAAGCGTGATGGATCAGACCTGTAGACACGCACGCGTGGCTTCTCTTAGGATACCTTGACTTCTTAAAGGAGAAGTAGATGTAGACTTTTACCGTCTTCATGTGTTTTCGGATACATCACACTTTCTTGGTAATCATAGCGCGTAGCTGCTAGATTAGCAATGCAGTAGACTTGGAACTTTACTGAAAAAGCATCACTGTATACATATGTTCCATCTCCAAGCCATGACACTGTTTTGTTCCAAAGCGTATAGTCCCTAAGCTTTCTGTGCATTACACTCAATAATTCACAAGACAGCGTGTATAAGCTACGCCGTCACTTTATGCCTCTCTTACGCTACCCTGATCATTCATCCAGCCTGGTATACTGGATTCTCCGTCTTATAATACATAGCCTTCACTGGCTGTTGTTGTGCCGCATACCGTACTCTTGCCTTCGCACTCTCTTCTCTACTCTTCATCTTCCTGTCCACCATCTGAAGTGCAAGGATTTGGTGGTCCGAGAGACCAGCGAGACCTTGTGCTGTACGTGGGGTGGCCATGAGATGAGGGTCATTGTTAGTGGTTCTCAAAGCTAGTTGTCTTGATGATGAGTTCATTGGAGTGTCCTGATCTTGGTGCTCTGCTTGAGCGATGGCAGCAGTTCTGTTGGACAAGTACCGTGAATGCGCGTGTCTTCGTCTGATAGGTTTCGATGTTGTCTCATCACCACGACTGTGTCGAGAATTGATGATCAATTTGGATGACAGACGTCTCTCCGTCTTTGGGAGCCTTGTAATGGTCGTACTTGTCTGGCCATCCTTATCCTCTTGATCTGCTTCGAAATCCCAGAAATCGCCGAGTTCAGACATGTCGATCATGCAGTGTCCCTTGTCTCGCATGTGCGTTTGCACAGCTTCGACAGTGGCTTTCTCTTGTCCGCAGTATAGACATTCGTGGTATTCGAAGACTATTAATGCTAGGTATGAGAGCAGAGAATCCAGGGAGTAAAGTGCTGAGAGCGATGGGATGAAGAGGCCATGGTGGGTGGACATGTGCTCTAGGGCTGTTGTATAAGTGGAAGTGAGGAAAGGGCAGAAGAGACATTGTGTTGAAGGCGCCTTCTCGGAATGATCATCAGGTATGCCTTCAACATAGGCTTCGGAATTGGTGTCCTTCTTGATGTTGTCGTTGTACAATATTGTCCGCGGCTTTCGTAACATAGTATCATCGTTGTTTCTTGGTCGGTGTGTGACTTCTTCGCTCTTGCATTCTTGCACCTCGAACTCTTGCTCGGTCATAGATGGTAACCCAGCTACCTTGCGTTTGAGGTTGCACACACTGTGCATAACTGTCAGTGTCGTGAATACTAATTTTTATGCTCAGTGCCATCTTACTGCCAAGGCTGTTGCATGTGTGCACGCTGGAGCGCACTTGTTGTGTATGTAAGAGAACATGTGTTACATGGGAACACAGTCCGCAGTTCTGAAGCCATCTTTGTCGTCGCCTTTTTTATTGCTTGTTGGGAAGTCTCGAGGTAGGTAAGATGAAGAGTCTGTGGTAGGAGGGTTAAATCCACTTCTCGTATTGAGGCGAAAGAGTGATGGGAAACAGTCTTGCTGATAGGATCAACTGAGATATCAATGTGTTATATAGTAAGAATGGGAAGGTTGGCATTTGAGAGAGCGCATGTGCAATACTGAGTCACGTGTCCACTCAGACGAGGCGCAGTCGCTCGAAAGCCACAATGAGTCATTTCCACTCACTTGCAACCATAACGAGCACAACAACTAATCCTTAGTGGCATACAAATCACTCCCACCAAGACCTCATCATGGAGTCGCATGTTCAAAAGATTAGCAATTAATTGTCAAGTATGATACCCGGCTTCCTGCCAAGAGGTCCCTCCCTCTCTAGCCGTCTTCCTATCACAACTCAGTTTTTCCATCAATCCCAGTCCACTCAGCTTAAACAAAACTTTTTCTACAAATCTACCCACACTATTTCTTTTTCGGCCTTCCCCAGCCGACAAAGACAAAAGCTCCTTATCTTCGACGCGCAATTCTGCTTGAGGGTCATATTCATCCACGTCGCCGCCAAAGTAATCTGAATGCGCGGACCAGCGGGGAGACGAGATGGAGTTTGATGGAGAACGATGCGCGTGGAAGATATGCCCATCATAGTCATATCTAAAACGTGTCATCTGGTCGTAGCCTGTTATATAGGGACGGCGGAGTGAGTCTAAAGTTTTGGAGTAGCGAGGTGGGTGATAGTCAGCTGTAAAGCCATCTCCAGTTGCATACTGTGCGTGTTGAGGGTCTACTGGTGACTGAATCGATGGGGGAGCTGCGAAGTATTGAGCTTGGCGCCGCGATGGATCTGAAGCTTCTGAAATGACAGAGTCGTGCCGCACAAAAGGACCAGAAGTTCCGACAGGCAAGGGCTTGCGTTTAGTTTGCTTAGAGACTCGTTCATCTGTGGGCAGAGATGGTAGGGGCTTCTGCGGACAGGCCGCCGCACTCCTGCGGCCCTGCTTTGCATACGCCTTTCCTAAGCTGCTAGCTTTGCGGTTTAGGGGGGCGGGTGCCAATTGAGGCACTAAAACCTCTTCTACCACAGTCGCCCTTCTTCGGTAAGAAATTGCGGGATGCCCACTACCATCCCAATCGACGATCACGGTACCTTTGCTCGTCGGTCGATCGTCTGACGCTTGTGAGAATTGCCACGATGCCACATGTTCGTCAATCATCTGAGATAGCTCCGCTGCAGCCCCGTAGCGGGCTCGAATGTAACGCGGAGGTTCGAGACGCTGATTGTTGTTTAGAGCGCTATGCTGCTCACATTGTTGCTGTGAAATCTGGGTGTTCGGATTCCCAGTGCCTCGAGAGGAAGGACGGTGTAACATAGTATGACTGATTTTCGCGTTGATTGTGTTACTGTGTTGGGTCATTCGTTTGACCTTTGATTCGAGCTTTTGTCAACGTTAAAACTTGTGTTGTTGTTGTTACAGTTGAACGGCTGTCGGTTGTATTAATAATCTTTGCAGAACTGTGGTGTGATACGGTTGGTTGTAAGGGATCTTCTTGTACAGTACTGGTGAGTTCTAAGTGAGTTTACAGTGCTGCCATGAACACAGTCTCTGCAGATGAGAGTAATTCATGCAGTGAATACATGCCGTTAGTGACGCCAAATTGGATGGCGTTGGGAATTTGATCGGACCTCACAGAGCGTCAGTCGCTTCGAATACATCGCTTGATCAGGGTGAAGCCCATTTGGCTGATGACGGCTAAGAAAAGCGATGAGAGTAGAAAGAGATGATTGTGAAGCGATTCTAACCCATCATCATTAGCAAATTAAATACAATCCCGTTGGTCTGTCAACATCCCATATCTCTTGACATTGACCAACTTATCCCAACTAACCCAGGTATATTATGAGTGCAATCTCTTTCGTCTACCCCAAGCTCGCCTGCTTCTCGAGATGCATATGAACAGAAATGACGCAACAGATTGCTATGGAACATGTCAGACACAGGAAGGAAATGGTATAGACCAAAAGCACAAACTCCGTGACGAACGATGAACAGGAGGGGTAGGAAGCACAGCGCATGGACCCCGGGTATTACGAAGCTCCAAAGACCCTCATGATGGATGAAGACGGCCTGAATGTGCAGACAAGAAACGGATAATCCATCTAGTGCTTGTCCTTGCTGGAAAGCTTGTCCTTGATCTTGCCGAAGAAAGAGCGACGCTTCTTTTTCTTGTCATCGGCACCAGAAGCGATGCTCTGACTACCAGGTGTGCCCTTGGGAGATACATCTGAGTCTTTCCTGAGGTTCTTGGCAGGAGATTCTGGTGCCAGCTGTGCAGCTGGGGCGGAGCTCGTAGCCTCAGTCTTGCTTGTTTCCACACCGGTGGTGACAGTTGGCTGGGTCTGCTCGGTGGTAGTTGGCGCTTGCTTGTTGAATGCAACGTCGGTGCTGGAATCGATGGGCTTAGCGTTCGGTTGCTGAGCAGGCTCGGATGCGGGCGCATTGAGAGCATTAGGCTCGCTAGAAGACTTGAGTGGCTTGGAGTCAACAAGAGCCTCATCAGAGAGGCCGGCAGCAGCGCTGGGAGCGGGCTCGCCAGTAGCGTCAGTCGACTTTACTTCGTTAAGAAGTTCAGTCTCCATAGCACGCTTCTCGCTAACTGCCTCAGCGTTGGTGGCGGCCTCAGGACTGGCATGGGCTTCCTTTTGGCTCTCGGCGACAACGTTGGGGACCTCACGAGCGACGGCTTCATTGACAGACTCAGTGGCTGTGCCAGATGGAATCACAGTGGCGGCAGCAGCAACAGCAGCAGCAGCAGCGACAGGTGCAGTCGCGGTAGTCGCAGCAGTCAGTACTGGGGCTGGCTCACCCGCTTCATCGGATCTTGGAAGCTTTTCAAGTAGCTCAGATTCTACGGCTGACTTCTCAGCAACAGCCTCGCTGTTAGCAGCAGCCTCGGGGCTAACATGCGCCTCGTGTTGGCTATCAGCGACAACCTCGGGTACATCGCGAGAAACAGTCTCTGATTGAGCTACAGGAGCGGTGGTAGCTGTGGCAGCGGAGACAGCGGGTGCTGGCTCACCAGATTCGTTGGTCTTAGGAACCTCGCGCAATAGCTCAGACTCCATAGCGGTCTTCTCTGCGACAACCTCGGGGCTGGATGCTGCTTCTGGGCTTGCATGTGCCTCTTTCTGGCTCTCGGAAACGACAGCTGGGATGGCAATAGCCGGGGCAGGGAGACCTGTCTCGGTTGTCTTGGGAACCTCGCTGAGTAGTTCCTGCTCCATAGCCGACTTCTCAGCAACAGCCTCAGGACTGGCGGCCGCCTCTGGCGCAGCGTGGGCTGCGGTCTGGCTCTCAGCGACAACAGAGGGTACGTCCTCCGCAGTAGTGGTGGTGGCGCTGGCAATAGCAGGGGCAGGCTCTCCGGTTTCGTTGGTCTTGGGGACTTCGCTGAGTAGCTCCTTCTCCATTACCGACTTCTCAGCAACAACCTCAGGGCTAGCTGCTGCTTCT